GGGGGGGGGGTAAGTAAACGCCAGGCTGGGCTGACAAGACAATGGGCAGTATGTTGTTGCGCTCTGAAGAGGAGAGAGTCAGGGACGGAGCTGGACCAGGAAGTCAGGATTGGCACATTTGGAGGGAAACTAGAGTTCTATTAGGACTAAACCTTCTTGTTTGGCTTCAGCACTCTATCGGGTCACAGGAGGACATTTACTACTGTCCCTCCTGTGACCCAAACTCAGCATATAGCGGGCTGCGGCCGGCTATTTACGGACAGCACAGAGCCGAGGTGCAGCCGGGGGAAAGATCCCGACAATATCATCCGGATCCACCCCGCTGCCTGATTGACAGCTGGCTCTGCCCATCCCTCCAATGAGTGTTGGGGAGGGGGGAATTCCCGTGGGGAGCAGTGAGTGACAGTCACCTATGCAGGGAGAAGCCTTGAGCTGACCAATCGGCTGCTCGTGATCACTCTCAAACCATTGATCCGGCATGCGACAGCTGCAGTGTACTACGCCGACTCTAACTATTGGTTGGAGTAATGGATGCGCGGATACCGGTATTTTGGTACCGATAATTTTTTTCGGTACTCGCCGATACCGAGTACCGGAAGTCCCATTCAGGAAGCCGGGTGTGCCCCGGTTCGTAAGTACGCATTGTCCGTAACACGGGGACTACCTGCATATTCCCAATAATGCTCATTTAAAGCTCTCGAGGCGTCTGCTGACTTATCTCCAATCCGGACCACTGCCCCCCCTCCCCCCATCTCACACACGGGGGACTTCATGAGCTATCACCCCAGACCAGTGATGGCGAACCTCGGCACTCCGGCTGTTTTTGAACTACGAGTCCCATGAGGCATTGCAAGGCTCTGACAGCCACAGACATAACTCCCGGAGGCAGTTGCATGTTGGGATTTGTAGTTTTGGCGCAGCTGGAGGGACCAAGGTTCGCCACCACTGCCCCAGACTGACACAGACCGATGCAGCGCAGCATGTAGGAGTCATCAATCGACCGGCAGGAAAACAACGCAGGACAAATTGATTGCCACTCCGAGCAACTGCACTGGCGATCGCTCTCAGAGCAGACGTGGGCAGAGGATCGCTCTATGAAAAACATGCCCATGTGCGTCTCCGTCATCAGCGCACTTGTATCCAATAAGATGCCCATAATGGCCGACAGGACATGCCATCATATCCCAATCTTACCATCGTCACCCTTATGGCTGCATTTCATTACAAAACTTACCCATTGCCCCAAACGGAGGACCCCGGGGTGGCATTCCCATTGGAGGTGGTCCAGGGGGATTCATGCCGGGAGGACGCGAGGCCATCTGAGCGGGGGAAGGACTCATCGACGGGTGCGGGACTTGCATCTGAAGACCTGCGGGGACACAAAGCTATTCAGGACTGAGCCAGAACAGAATGCCCCCCCCCCATTCCATACATGACGGGGGTCACTTACCGGGGTGCATGCCGCCAGTCTGGAAGGGCATAGGGACTTGTGGCTGGCCGCCTGCAGAACCGGGCCCTCCTCCCCCTGTGAGTGAAGACATTGGAGGTGGAGGCATGGATGGGGGCATTCCTGGAGGTAATGACCCAGGTGGGGGTCCTGGAGGGAAAGCGGGTAAGCCTGTAAAGACAGAATGACATCAAATTAAAAACACAGCTAATGGCTTCAGGTCTTTTCTAACCGCCCTCCCCTTCAGGTCTTCTAACCGCCCTCCCCTTCAGGTCTTCTACCCGACCACCACCCTTCCCTTCAGTCCTGCACAGTTGTACCGGCTCCTCTCCTGGACTGAGCTTCTCACAATGTGCATTAGCAGCAAGATAGAGCCGGCCTCATTTCCTGACTGAGGATGTCCCGACTGTCTGGCCCCGCCCCTTTCATTCATTGGATTTCAGTTATGTAAATCATGCAGGCTCAGCATCACATGTGGGCGTTTCCTAGGGGGGTCAGCATGCAAATACAGGCAGCCTAAGAACACCCACTCCTCCAGACTGACACCCACCCATTTTTATATTTGCATAACTCCTCCCAAGGGTCAGCCCACTGCTTGCATCAGGGCTGAGAGCTCGAGAAAAGTACTGAGTCAGGGTGCTGTGATGTTTTCAGATAGTTATGTACAACACCCCGCCAGCCCCTCCCACCAAAAGAAGGGGTAAATATGCCCATGTGCACCCCCAAGACCAACTCACCTGCAGCCACAGCGCTGGTTAGGGAAGTGATGACAGCAGGAACCGAAGGAGGAGGAGGGGCATCTGCAAAAAGCTGGTGAGGCCTATCAGCCTGGGACAGCGGGTTCTGTGCAGCCAGCAATCTCTCGGCCGCCGAGCCGTGCCTCTCACCCTTGGAGTCCTTCTTAAAGGCGTAGGACACTGTGATAGGCCGGTTACATAAATACTGTCCGTTCATGGCCTCGATGGCGGCGTCCGAAGCGTCAAAGCTGGCGAAGTTGATGAAGGCGTAGCCCTTGGAGTTCCCAGTGTCGGGGTCTCTCATGATCTTGGGGGTCTGGAGGATGACCCCGAAGGCACTGAAGGTGTCGTACAGAAGCTTCTCGTCGATCTCAGGGTCCAGGTTACCAATAAATATGTTCGCTCCGACGTCCAAGTTCTTGTTGTGCGCTGAAGCTTTGTTCACCCGGATGGGCTTCCCGTATAACTTGATCATGTTCATAATCTTGATGGCGTAGTCTGCATCCTCCTCGCTGAGGAACTCCACGAAGCCGTAACCTGCAGAGTATCAGAACAGTTACCACGCGCCTCATCAGACGTTACATGGACGCACACAACGGGATTCAGGGACAGCAGGAGGAGATTCCTCGATCACCGTTCATAAGCACTGGAGGAATGCGTTGTATGATCTTAGCTGGCGGGATGAATGAAGAAGACAGACACGCGTGTGCACCCGACTTCACCTTACACAGACAATTCAGGTGACGTACCAGTGACCCCTGACAGGAAACCAACACCCACCAACCATGACCTGTGCTCACCTTGATGTTGCCCTGTGACCCGGTCCTTGGGCATGTGAGTGTTCACCACCGGCCCGGCCTGCAGAAACAGCTCCCATAGCAGCGGCTCGCTCACCTTCTCGTCCAAACCTCCGACATAGACTGTGGCGTCTACGAGGAACCAAAAACAGCACAAAGGGCACGTTAATCCTAAATCGGTACAAACTCCTCCCATCTCTACATCATGAGGTAGCAATGAGATCATCGTTCACCCCTCTGATGTCACACATTGTTCTGGGAGAACGCGTGGGGAAAAATTAAATCTCAGATCAAAATGTACTGCAGACTGTGACATAGAGGTGCCGCGTATTTGGTGGGTTTATATGTAAATTAGGGATACACCGGTACCGGTATTTTGGTACCAATACATTTTTTGGGTACTCGCAAATACCGATTACCGGAAGTCCCATTCAGGAAGACGGGCACCGTGTAATGACGCGGCGCCTTGCTTTCTTATTGGCCGGCTCCATGCTCTCCCGTCATGAGATGACGAAGAGGACTTCTCTTCAGGGAAGCCGATCCCACCTCAACCCAACCACTGAACCATTCATCCCCACACAGCTCCCTCCTCATGTATCACTGGCCCCTCCTCTTTTAGATTGTAAGCCCTCAGGGGCAGGGCCCTCCTTACCATCTTGAATTGTATTTTAATGTCTTCCTTATATTGTAAAGCGCTGCGCAAACTGTTGGCGCTCCATAAATACTATGTAATAATAATATGTGGTCAGGGTTTTTCCCCATAGTTCTCCTCAGGGTAACGGGAGGACACAAATTAGCGTCCTCCTCCCGTCACCCTAAGCTCAGTATACAGGAGCTACAGCTCGAGGTATACTGAGACGCCGCAGCGGATCCCGACAATTATGTCTGGATCCGCCCAGCTGCGTGAGTGACAGCTGGCTCGGCCTATCTAGAGGCAGAGCCAGCTGTACCCGCCCCCCTCCCCCGTCCGTTCCGCCAGTCAGCGCTGGAGGATCGGAGCGGGGAATCCAGCCCCTCCCCTGTCACGGCAGATGGCAGTGACAGGATCGAGAAGTGAGCGAACGCCGGTATCTGTTCCCTCACCTCCCGATCTACTGAGCCGACCTGTGACAGTCTCATTGTCACAGGTCGGCTAGAACTATGAGGTGAGTGAAAAGCACCCCCCTCATAGTTCTCCTTTATGCTGGGAAATGACAAGTGCCTACTGAGGCAGCTAAATGTAAACAAAGCAGGCCGTGGCTGGGAGCAATAGCCTGGCCGCTAGTGGCTACTGCAATTTGCAGACCTATCGCGGCCGGCAGCAGGGGAATGCAGCCTTACAGGCGGTCAGCGGTCTCTCCTCACAGGCTGTAATCTGTCCCCTCTGACACAGACCGCCGCAGCCGATTACAGCCTGTGAGGAGAGACTGCTGACAGCCTGAGAATCTGCAGCGGCGGGAGAGGAAACGGAGGTGCAGTCAACGGGCTGACAAAAGCTCAGGCGCCAGGACGCCATTTCTAGTGGCATTGGCGACCTGGGATTTGTCGAGCCCTGAGGTTAAAGCAAACCTGTGCCGGGCCCGTGCGATGTATAGACCGGCATTGGCCTCCGCTTGGTTCAGGACCCCCAAATGAGTGCAGGAACACCAGGTCATGTGACCTGTCACTCCTCCAATCAGAGTTCTCTCTGACACACCGTGGCCCGAGTTTTATAAATGGGCTGTAAAGCTCAGGCCATGGGGTGTGGAGAACCTTTGTAGTCTATGGCAGAATGCGATATCGGCTCCCCCATTGTAAGGGAGTCCCTCAGTGTGGGGGTGCCTGGTCTCCAGGATAACCTGAGGACTGCCATTGCTGGACACCTGCAGAAAATGCCATGTGCCTGGTTGTCATGCCGGCACATTGGCTTCAGTACATTCAGTGCCTATAGGTAATGGTCTATAGATCAGCCACAGCATCATAATTCTGCCATGGCAGAGGCCTAGGAACAGCCAGGCCACAGAACGCACATACACTACAAGGCCCAGCGCTGGAAGCTGACTGGCTGTTGTCCAGAGCAACCACTCAAGGGATATGGCTTGTTGCTATGGGCCAAACCCCGCACAGCAGGCCGGTTCTGGCAGCCCCTCACCCCTTCCCTCTCTCTGCCAGGTTTATCCGTCCCGCTTCTCACCCTGGTTCCGTTCCGAAATCGGCCCCGCCGCCATCTTTCCCGAGCACGGCACACGGTCACACTGGCGCTTCTCACGGACTTCCGCTACGTCATTTCCGTCACTAGTTCGCCTCTCGGAAAAAAACTTTATTGCGCGCTCGCGTTGTTGACACAGCTGAGGGAGCAAGGAGGGGGCGAGGCTGGGCAGTTTTGCCGAAGAGAGGCGTTTTTTTTAGCTGGGATGGCCCAGTGTAGGCTCCAGCTATTGTGAAACTACGAGTCCCATGAGGCATTGCAAGACTCTGACAGCCACAGGCATGGCTCCACAGAGGCAGAGGCATCCTGGGATTTGTAGTCTCACCACAGCTGGAGTGCCCATAGAGATCATATGGTCACCCTGAGTTATAAATGGATTAGTTCATTAATATTGTACAGTATTAGCCTTCATTCACACCTACGTGTTCCATGAACGCGCACCAAAGCGTGTGCTTCACATGCTTTCACGCAAATGTGGCAAAACGTGCAGCACGCTTGCGTTGCCATTTATTTCTAATGGCACCCCAAAACGCGGCCAGGAAGACGCGCCTTTTGGCTCCGTGTCTGTGCGCATGAAAATGTGCGCAAACATGGGAGCAAAAAAACACGGAACGCGTGTCGCAAAAACTGCTACATGAGCTTCTGTGTTGCGATTGTCGTGCGCGCAGGCCCCATTGAACTCAATGAGGACGCACACGGAAAACATGGCACGCGAACGTGACGCCTGTTCACACCGCACGCATGTGTGAATGAGGTCTCGGTGTCATGTTTGCAGTATGTTGTAGCGTCCGCGGTGTCATCACATCCCTGATTGATATGAATGACACAAGTTGTGTCTAGGGTTGCCACTTTTCCTTCAAGTGCGGCAGCGGTGACCTTGTGGGGAAGTTGCGGGCGCCGGTGTAAGGTGTCCCTTACCCCGTAGTGTTCGGCCGCCGTCCAATCACGACGGGGCGAGGCTCCGCCAACTAGGGTTGCCACCTTTTCTTCAAGTTATAAAACAAAAATGTTGGATTTTTCCCATCACTTTCTGTACCAGAGACATTGGTCATCGGGACAAAACGATGACGTTTTCATCCAGGGTTCCACAATAGAATTTCTTCATCAGTAATAGCCGAGTGGGAATCATGTGCAATATATATGTCTGCCTTATATTTTAATATTGATCTTTTGTATGTGTATAATAGATGATATGTTTTATATATACTGTGCTGTATATTTTCTTTCCTTTTCCTAGTAGAGTTGATCCAGAAGTTGAATTTGGATGGAATTTCATGGATTCTGATGACAATATCCACATTTCGGTCTTATTGGAATTCTATAAGGTTTCTGTCTTATATTAGCTTCTGATGTTCCCTTACCTTGGATGTCAGTGCCCCCGGGTCCCACCACTCCGTCCTAGTATCCTTGGTAGGAATGTTAAAGGAAGTGGCTCGGCCTGTTTTATTTTTTTTCATTGTCACACTGGGCTAGGGTAGAAGGGTAGAAGCTTCTCAAACCAATTCTTCAGAATTTTCTATTTTTAACTTTGCACTTCTCCTTTAGGTGTTATAAGAAAAGATTGCGAACGATGATAACAAATGACCTCAGCCTGTGTGTCATCCGTCCGTCCTCTCTGCAGCCACTTCTGCTTTCCTTCCATTTCTTCACTGGCTGTGACTGAGCTCCCCGTGACATTTGGCATTTGCTCGCATCAAAACGAGTCATTTTATATACAAACATACAAAAGCAGCTTAACACAGCTCGAAGCAACCTAAAGGGAGGCCAGAGAGTGGTCAGAAGGTGGACAGAAGGTAATCAAAAAGGTGGTGGGCAGGTGGTCAGTAGGTGGTCAGAAGGTATTAAGAAGGTGGTCGGAAGGTGGCCAGAAGATAATCAGAAGGTGGTCAGAAAGGTGGTCAGAACGTAATCAGAAAGGTGGTCAGAAAGGTGGTCAGAACGTAATCAGAAGGTGGTCAGAAAGGTGGTCAGAACGTAATCAGAAAGGTGGTCAGAAGGTGCCAGAAGGTAATCAGAAGGTGGTCAGAAAGGTGGTCAGAAGGTAATCAGAAGGTGGTCAGAAAGGTGGTCACAAGGTGGCCAGAAGGTAATCAGAAGGTGGTCAGAAAGGTGGTCAGAAGGTGGTCAAGGGTGCCAGAAGGTGCCAGAAGGTAATCACAAGGTGGTCGGAAGGTGGTCAGAACGTAATCAGAAGGTGGTCAGAAAGGTGGTCAGAACGTAATCAGAAAGGTGGTCAGAAGGTGCCAGAAGGTAATCAGAAGGTGGTCAGAAGGTAATCAGAAGGTGGTCAGAAAGGTGGTCAGAAGATAATCAGAAGGTGGTCAAAGGTGCCAGAAGGTAATCAGAAGGTGGTCAGAAAGGTGGTCAGAAGGTGCCAGAAGGTGGTCGGTAGGTGGTCAGGAGGTGATCAGAAGGTGGTCAGAAGGTAATCAGAAGGTGGTCAGAAAGGTGGTCAGAAGGTAATCAGAAGGTGGTCGGAAGGTGGTGAAAAGGTGCCAGAAGGTGATCAAAGGGTGGTCAGGTACAAAATTGAAGGAATTCGTAAGCATCTGAAAGATTTTTAATACAAGCTGAATGCACCTGGACGCACCTGGACCTTCATCTATATACAGAGACCTTGTATATTATACATGTTTCATGGTTGGTTCTTCAATCAGCAATGAATGATATGGGCGGAGCGATGTACAGACAGCAACTTCCATTTCAGATCATCCTCATCTGTAAGTACGACGTTTCCCAATGCTCTCTCTGTATTTCCTGTATGTATAATTATATGAAGTTAGCTTGTCTTCAGATCACAAATATAAAATAAAGTCTTCTTATCCATGGCAATGGTGTCTCACCAACAAAACTGCTGGTCCCCACAGGAAGGGTATCACAGTCCCAGAGCTTTAGGGGTGTTTTCCAACCCTGAGTCTCCAGCAGGGCTCAGCAAGACTACAGAGCTCACACAGGCCCCCTGTCCCAAACTCCTACTACTCCACCATGTGCTCCTTGTAGTCTTCCTGCTGGTCCATTAAAGTAGAACTATCCATAGACGCATCCAAAGACTCATCCATAGACTCATCCATAGACTCATCCATAGACTCACCCATAGACTCATCCATAGACTCATCCATAGACGCATCCAAAGACTCATCCATAGACTCACCCATAGACTCATCCATAGACTCACCCATAGACTCATCCAGAGACTCACCCATAGACTCATCCATAGACTCACCCATAGACTCATCCATAGACTCATCCATAGACGCATCCAGAGACTCATCCATAGACGCATCCAGAGACTCACCCATAGACTCATCCATAGACTCACCCACAGGGCAGCCATCAGAAATTTTGGGGCTCCTTACACAGCTTTAGGCCGGGGCCCCAGGGCCG